CAACAAGCATTCAGTTTGACTGGGGAACCAAGGGACATCACTTAGGTTGGGATTCCACTGGCCACCAACCACTGACGGTTGTTCGCCAAATGTGGAATGTACTCCTCAACCTGCAAATGTCCAAACCACCAATTGCAGGGGCTGTCTGACCTTTGGATGGACGAAGTCCTGCCGCGTGAGATTCAACCATGGCTTCCAAGTACGGGACGGCATCCACAGCATGGAAATCATGCCCAATGTGATTATTCCTATAACTTTTCCTAGGACCCCCACACCACCCGCCCCCCCCCCGGCCCATTTTCACACCAATCTCAAAATCGTCGATTCGATTTGTAATTGGATGTCCCATTCAAAAGCCGACAACTCAGTTTCTTTTGAAACGATGGCTACTCTTGGAGTTCCCTACTTGGATGTTCGGCCAACTCAGTAAGTGGTTAGCCTGGGAGGTTACCTACTGACCGGGTTAACCCCACTTCAGCAAGCTCATGGGTTAGAACCAATTGGCTACCAAGAACTTACTAACTGCGCCGAACACCACACCCAAGTGACAAAGGGAAAGGACAACAAACCATTTAATTGCAAGAACGATGCTTGAACATGGAATAGGAATCAGCCTAGTATTCAGGACCCATTTCTGGGTGGGTTTGGGGCGGTTTGGGGCCCGCTTCGCCCCCCGCCGCTTCCCCGCTCGGCCTGAGGCTCTCCGGGGACTTCATGGCGATGGCGCAGTCGCCGCGCCGCCAGCAGACCCTCCGAGGCGCAGCGCCCCAGGCGGCCACCACCCGCTGCGCCTCCGCTTCGAGGAACGAGAGAGTAACCCGCCCGACTGAGTGGATTGGCCAAGTGGGCCAAAAGCAGCTGCTTTTTGGCATACCACTTAAAAGTAAAAACAAGCAGTTCGTTGACCAAACTGTTTGTTTGCCATTCTGTTGCAGTTCACTTTATCCCTACAGTCATGGAAAAGTAACCAAGCTATTATTTGTTTGGCCAGAAAAACAATACCAATGCCTGAGTTCATGGACTTTAACCACTAAAATGGTCGTTATAACCCAAAAAGTTTAAAGTCCATGAACTCGATCGGGAGTGAGGATATTGAGAAGGCCTAGCCCAAGATGATCAGAGTAGTGAAAGCCCAAAGTACTACAATTGTTTACATGTGGGTGTTTCTCAGACTTATTTGGAAGCGTCTGGTACCCTCGTAGATACTTTAAAGGGAAATCACAAGGAGCACCACCATCACCGGAGTTTGTCTCAACATAAATAGGGCACCTCCAAAACGGCAACGGCCCGCTTGTGTTGTTTGCTTTACCAACCCAACGGCCTATTTCTCCTCCAACAAGAACACCAGACCCAAGTGAATCCCTCTCAAAACCTCATTGTAGTGTTTCTGAAGGTTTCCCTGCTTCCCTTGTCTTTCTCTTTGTCTTTCCCCCTTTCTACTTGGGTGTTTGCTTCGCCAAGCTAGTAAGTTGCAACGGCAGCCTAGTTTAATTACAACCTGCTTATAGGTCCCACATGCGGGGTTCACCTCATTAGCTATAACCCGATGTGCCAAAGGGACGTGGAAGGAATACTTTTTGACTCTTTCCACCCTCCCCCAAATGAAGTTCCGTCAAAATTTGTTGTTCACAGTAAGTACGTTCGATTTGGTCTATAACACAAAGGTATCGTTTTTTAAGAGTCCCCTACCGTTTTCCATCATTTCAAGCACCTTGAGCTACATGGATGTCCAAGTGTAGACTACTCTCCTTTTCCGTAAATTCTGACCGTGCTTCAAATGCCTCCGAACGGGAACCCTTTGGCCCGAAACGCAAAAAAATGGTTGGCTTCCTTTTTTTTTGTAGCCTCTTGAAAATCCATCCCCACGTTGATGACTTTGTCCCTTTCCCAAGGCATGGGAAGGTGGCTCGTTCTTTTCCACATCGGTGTTTGGCAGTTCACCTATCGGGTCAGCTTCCATGCTAACGACATAGGCAAACAGGCTCAAAAAAGGAACATGTAGTTGCAGGCATGCCTTTTTTCATAGACACTTTGACCTTTCGGACACAACTTGTTAAACCTTTTTGGGACAAATCACAGGGTTGAAACCGCAGCTCCCCTTCCAATGGAAGGGAATTGCTGGGTGTTCAACCCGTAAAGCCTCGGCCTTGAGGTGGTCCTCCGTCTCGTACCCGTCCACGTCCTGCGGGGTCCCGGCTTCCGAAAGCTTGGGGATTCATTCAATCACAGCCCTGGGCACTAGTTCCGAGCTCACCGATGTTCTGACCTTATCATAGGGATGTCCCCCCCCCAAAAAACAAGTAAACCAACCACAAGCCCATGGTGGAATTTGCAATGTCTTTTTTGTTTTTTCTTGTTCCCAGGTTTTGCACTATGTCGAAAAAGCATCGACTCAGCTTGGAAAAGCGTCCTGCGCCCCCGCGGTGCGGTACAGCTCTGTACTCGGCCGCGGCACCCCGTACTCGTAGGCGCAGGCCACCGAGGATTTCAGGTTCGGCTGCAAGGCGTCGGGGGCGTGGGCCACCAAGGCCCACGGGGTGTACCTCACTTGAACGAAGGTTGGCACAAGCAAAAGGCAAAAAATATGTACCCGGAGTCTCCTTCTGACCCTTGAAAATTGGGGCATTAGCCAAAATCATGGAGACATGGACCCAGCTTTAAAGGGTCATGGAGACTCCAGGTCCAGGTATCCTCAACAAAAGGTCTTGAAACCGGGGTGTTTACCATCTATTGGGTAACATGGTGCTACCTCGGGTACACTCATTAAAACCGATAGCACCGCAAGGCTCCCTTCCAAGCAACAGCTAGGTATTGAAACCTGGTATTGAGATGGCCCCCGCAAATCCATATAAGGAAACCAAAAGGCTTTCCTTTTGGCTTCCCTTGACAACCACAAGAGAACAGTACCTCAAATAAGACACACCCACATGGATATCAAAAGGTGGTAAAGATACCTTACAAGGAAGTACACATAAAAAGCCTCACCAAAAAGGAAGATCTGAATTATGACTAGCTCGTTCCAGGTGACATGAAGCAACAGCCATAGGGCGACAGTCTGTTTGTGAAACCACCATTAGGGTTGTACTCAAGCGAAACACAGACGCGTGGAGCAGGCAGAACCTTTTTGGGTCAAAAAACTAAAGGTCAACACGGAATTGGAAGAGCAACATATTGGATGATTGGCTGAAAGCAGCGTTGGACAAAAGAGGTTGACCAAGGAAGCCCTACAAACGGCAAACATCGCCATTTGGGCTGCTACAATTTGAGTAAGCAACGGTCAGGGCGTGCATCTTTGGGTCCACACTTTTCGAATCGCAAAGTGGTTCTCCCATGACTATGGGAACCTACCTTGGGCAAATTGAAGATACACGGAAACTCCGATCCATGGATCATCCACTGTAACACACATTTCTAGTATGACGCTCAACACGCTGCTTGGAACCTTCCTTGGCACAAAAGAAGAATGGTCAAACTCAAAAACATTCAGCTTCGAACTCCGACCCCCCACAAAGCTTGGCCCGCATCTGGGTACTCCAAAAATAATCCTTTCAGATTATGCTCCACATTTGGTTTACCCTGAAATAACAAACGTGTGTGTGTGTCTTTTGTTTAAGGGAACCCCTTTTGGGATTGTTTGGACACCGAAAGCAACCCCTGCGATTTTTGGGTCCAAGTCCTATAACAAGATACACCAGCATGATCCAAACCCGAAGCAGGTTGGAAGTAGGTAGCATCCAACTCCGGCCGCGAAGCCGCTGCTTTGAGTGAGAAGACGTCCCCCAGAAACCCACCCCGACCCTCCCAAGGTGCCGATACGTGCGCCGCCGTGGGGGGCCCGACAGTCGCCTTTTCGAGAGGCGCCGAGCCCGCCTGACGCGGGTGGCTAGCAAGGGAGCCCCACCTTCCAACCCAAAGGCAACCCCCAAGACACATCCAGTCTTTGAACGATAGGATCTCCCCCCCCCCCGCCCCAAACAAGAAACGAAAGAAGAGGA